GAATTAAAACTCACTACAAGTTCTCCGATTTTGCTACCTTAATTAAAAAAAGCAAAACCAGCAACAACAAAACCCCCAACCAACCAAACCAAACCAAAAAAAACCCAAAACAAACCCAAAAAAACTCCCACCCAAAACACTCCTACACTGACTGGATGCTATACCAAAGTATCCAGGAGACATGGCAATCTCTGCTTCAAAAATTATGTATATTCAGCTATCAGCACTGGTCAAAACAAAGCCAAATTGTTTTCTTGAATCTGAAATTCTAAAAACAGTATTTCAGTGGTATTTCAGTAGATGTTAAAATCTATATAACAAACCACTGCTGGAACAGGCTACGCTGCTTCTTTACTTCTAACAAATAGTGCTTGTAGTAAAACTGTACAGCTATAAATGTACCTACAACCAACTGAAAAGACACAGTTTTACCAAGGAATAGACCAAAGTCCTCTGTTCATTTCTCTTGAAAGCTCTGATAACAAATACTTAGCTTTCACATTCACACTGACTTGTTTTTCAAAATATGATTGTTTCCAGCAACACAATGAACTTGGAAAGCATCTGAAGCGAGGCAGGGGAAGGCACTAATCTGATTTCTGCCACCATCACATGACATGGCCCGGGATAAAACAAAATTTTTCTGTCTCTCAGTTTCTTCATATATAAGTTAATAATCGTATAGAGACCATGGAAAGGAATGCCTTAATTAGTAGCATTAACTGTACTTTTTGCTCATAAGCCTTCCAAGTATTAATTCACCCTTAACTCCTGTTGCTGTTTTGAGAGAGCTAATCAGTCTGAAGCAGCTTGTCAAACACCACGTATTTACGGAACGTGCTGCTCGTCACAGAACCGTTGGCGATCTGAGGTCAAGGGAGCACGAGCAGCTGCTGTGCACAATGTTACTTTGTTCAATTGTTAAGCAAAGACTGAACTTGCAGCAAGGTATGCTATTTATACAAATTAAAGCCTAGCAGGACGAAGGGGCTAATAGCCATGTTCACATAGAAGATATATTATCTTTAATGACCACATACATGCAGGATTTCTATTCAAAATGTCTCAGTTAATAGCAGTAAAGGCCTAATGCTTTAGAAGCATCATCCAAGATAGGCTGCTAGATAAGAATACTGCAACTTATAGAGCATTTTATACAGAACAGTGCTGTTTTTTGAATGACTCTATAAAAAGAAAGTTGGATATATAATATGGTTGAAAAGTTCCTAGGCTATATTCATACTTCATCTCCTAGTGCTGCACAGTTCTTGTTACAAATTATAAATTTGTAAAATAAAAAACAAAAATAAATTTGTAAACTGAGAATCAACAACACGAGCCATTCAACATCGGATGCATTAGCAAATTATCCTTTGGATATTTTAACCTTCTCACCAAAACTACTATACTTTCTTTCCCTGCCTTTACCTCCAGTGGACTGACATTACAGACCTCTTCTACCTTAGGGGGGTTCAAAAGGAAGTCAGCACTTAAAGCGCTGTTTAATTGATGCAGCACTTCAAATTAAAAAAAAATAACCCCTTAGTATAGACACTTCCCACTACACAAAAACCCCCAAACCAAACTATAAAACATGCAAGAGTGACCCGTTAATATTCTTTTGACTCATTAAGTGAAGCACTGTAAGGGCTGAGAAGATCCGATATCTACAACAAAACCTGGCTGACACAGGTGATAAAATACTGCACTAAAAAATACTTTTTTTTCCCCTCAGCAAAGAGAATGCTGACATATAAATAGCGAGAGAAATCAAACTAGCTTTTAATTTGAAAAGAAGTGAGAGGGCATTTCTTTGCAACCCCAGGAGAAAGAGGCAACAAAGTATATCTCCTGATGTTGTGGGAGAGCTGTCAAATGAAGCACACACACTTGCCTTATGCAGCTGGAAAAAAATTTTGATATTGACTATTACAAAACATATGGAAACTAATGGAAGGTGTTAGGCTCACTGGTCTGTTAGGAAAGGAAACAAAGATGATCATCTGCATGATTCTCGGTGCAGTATACGAATTAGTTCTAATGACCACACACCCAAATATCTCCAGAGGAGAGAAACAGCCACCAGACGTATGTCTTAAATTGAGGTTTCAAAGAATGAGAGCCTCATGGTTCTGCCCTGCTGCAGCAGAATTTGGATTCTTCCTGCAAGATCTGATACTATCTGTAACATTCACAAAACATTTCGAAATTCATACTGTTACCTCTGAAGCTCCAAATGTCAGCAACAGTTGACTCACCAGAGCCTGAAGTAGAGCAGAAAGTATGGGCCAAGGTTGCCTGTCAGGAATCTGTAATTTCAGGGAGAAAACGGGACTTTGGAACTCAGCTTCTGAAATGTGTAAGGTAAGGGCTGTCATCTGATGACCACCATCTCCTCATTTTTGTAGAAGGGCCTCTGGTGATTGCCTGACACCTGCTAAGGCTTAGGACAATGTTCACCTTTAGAATAATTCTTGGTAAGAGTCAAGATGGAGCTAGAATTACAATTTTTTATCTACAACAATTCTTTGGTACTCTCAGGTTAGCTGCTACAGCTGACCAGAACAGGAAGGAAATTCTGTAAACTTAGTTCCACCAAACTCATTCAACCTCTCAGGTCCTGTTGCAATGCCAGCATGGCTCCTTGTTAAGTGTCACTATTTGGGCATATGCTTAGTTCAAGGAACGTGCTGGCTAATTTTACACTGAATAACAACTAGAAGGAAATAATCTTTGGTCTAGGTTAGAAACCTACAAATGACTGATTTCCTGTCACTCAAGTAATCCTTTCAGTAAACTGATGTATTCATAGGTACAAACAAGCATCTTGTCCACATGGCATTGTCTCCCTCTTCCTTTTTATACTATTGCTTACATTTACATGCCTCTGTCTTCACTTTGCTGTGAACAGAAATGTCAGAGATGGATGTTTAAAGAACTGCCACACGTGGCTCTTTTGACTAAAGCCTTATTCTTTTTCACAAGGTTGAGGCAGAGGTTTATCCAACAGTTTAACATTTAAGCATTGTGCCTTATACACTCTACTGCTACTTATGCTCTCCTTCTCCAAGGAGAAGGACACATCAGCATAAGCTGGTGGCGCTGTTTGCATGATGCAACGAACTGCAAGAGCCCTCCCCTTCATGCCTTGGTACATCCCAGAAGAACTACAGTGACCGGCATGCCATGCTCCAACTCGGGAACAGCCCCGCTGCTGGCAGATACCTGTAACCCAGCACACAACAGGTGCACAGGAACACCTGTGAACTCCGTGACATTACAGTACATGCTTCATACATAGGAATTTAGCGTGTACATGTCTGACACGGACATAAACAGGAAAGGAGCAGAAGCACCTGACACATACCAGGCATTATTCATGCTGCTGGGGAAAGCATATGTAGGCTGCTTCCATCACCTCCTACACTTCACTTTGAGCCATGGCTGCTACAACTTAAAGTCATCCTGCTTTCTTTTCAAATCAGTGCAAAATAATTACTCATGGTTCCTATCCCAGAGTGAAATTAGGGATGAAACCAGAGTGGGTGTCACTGTAAGGAGAGGGCTGTGGACTGCTTCAATCCCAGATGTTCATTCCCTGAACTGTGCCCCCCAGACCAGGCTCTTGTCCCTACCACTCTTCCAGAACTTTGTTAACACAGGACCCAAATCCAATCTCCAAGGATGTCCTATGAGAAGCTCAGAAAAGTTCGTTGAATCATTCAAGTGAACAAGAAGCATACGGAAGTTTTTTGAAGCTTTTAACAGAGTGTCTCTGGCTTGACGGCCGAGAATGCTTTCCTAGAATCATCCCCTTCAATGACCAAGAAGCTTCACTGCAAGCACGTATTTTAAGCATATTAATAAGCAACTTTAAAAAGATCTCCATAAAGACAGTGCTCTGTTTCAAGGCTGGGCCTCCAAGTCAAAGTCCATTATCCTACAATTACTTAAAATTAATCTCCATTTTTCCTTCTTAGTAGGTTAGTCAGAAACGTGGGGAGAGGGAGGGAACAGTTCTAAATTTTAAGGTATGACACTCTCATTCTTTAAAGTTTATGGATTTTTTTAAGGAGGCAATTAGAGTAGACTCTAGCAGAAAAACTATTTCACATAATATAAACATTCTTATGAAATGAAAGGCTCTGTAGCATGCCTAAGTTTTGACTGATAAAGAGGTGATTTCTCCTCCTGATCAGGAGACAAATTTACTTCATAACCAATAAATGATTCTGCAGCTTAGTAAATATCTTATTAAAGCCAGCACTGCCAGCTCCACTGACTTAGAAAGAAAATTAAGTAATTCCTGTTGACTGGCAGTTACATTCTGTACTTTCCTAAGGTCTAAAAATGGTATCAGTTCAAAGGTCCATCCTCTCATTTTGTTTGTCAAGCCAAAGTATACAGACTAAACCAGAATCTGCTTCTACATACCCTGTACTACAACCACCAACATAATCATCACCTCTCAACTTCTGTATGAACACGTTCAGAAAAGTTAAGATTATACAATACCATTTAAGCAAAATAAAGTGAGCCTGTATGATCCTTCCAGACACCTAAGTATAGCCTGGCTCATCTGAATGACTTATTTCTTGCCACAAGAAGGAGGGGTCCACCAGGTCAGACCACTTCTGCAATAATTTGGAGATGCTCTAAACTTCATTTGCATAGCAAACTAATTTTCAGCTAAGGCAGTAATTTACCGTGTTTTTCCCCCTTGCTATGTGCCTAGTCACACCGCTCTTGACACTTGTAAGTAGGCAGTTCGTACGCTTAGTCCAAAGCGTCCCTTTTCTACTGTTCACTGACATGGAAGGTCTCTACGCTCACCAAATCCACGGGAATAACTCTAGCGATGCACTAAGAGCCATAGCTCCAAGAGGAAAGAAAGATACAATAACCTGATCTTTCCTAACATACAGAAGACTCGCATGTTACAGGAAAACTATACAGTGGAGTGTGCGGTCTCACCTTCTACTATTTCCAACAGGTTTTAAAAGACACCACTTTTAGAAATTCCAGCGGGATCTATCCTCCCCAGTCTCCACTGACAGCCACAAGCCGTCAGCAAAACGAAGCCCAGCCGACACGAGCCTGTCGGGAACCGACCTCCGCGAGCAGCGAAGTCAAAGTAAAACGCAGACGCGAAGCCGTATCCCAAGGCTTAAGGTCCACGTCGCGACCCGCTCCCTCCGAAGGGCCGCCCGCAGGCCCCCGGAGCTCCCCCCGCCCCGGCCCGGGCCCGCGGTACCTTCGCGGGGCCGGCAGTGCTGGCGGCGCGGCGGCTCATCCCGCGCGGGGCCCCGTTCACCCGCCGCGCCCCGGCCTCTCCGCCGCCCGCCCGGCCACGGAGGGGCTGCGCAGCCCCGGGACCGCGGCCGCCGCCTCCAAGCGCCGCGGCCGCCGCGGGGCTCCGGCCAGCGCCCCTTCTCCTCCTCGGTGCAGACCCCGGGGTCTCGCCAAGAGTTCAGCGCCAGCGGGAGTGTGCGGCCGGGGGCCGGGCCGGGGCTGCCGCTGCCCTCAGAACCGCGGGCTACGCCGCACCGCCACCACCGCCATCGCCGCTGTTTGTTTTCATCCGCTGCGGGCAGAGGGGGAAGGAAGGAAGAAGGGAGGGAGGGGAGGAGGGAGGTGCTTGGGCGTCCGCGGCAGCACTTTCCGCACAGAGCCGTCACTGCCCCCCTGCCCGCGCCGCGCCGGGACCGGGGGCCGGTGGGGCAGGAGGTGGCCGGGTTCGAGACAAACGGGGCAGCGCCCGGCGCCGCTCCCACCGGGAGCCCCTGGCTGTAACGAATCTACCGCGGCGAACGCGGGGCCGGGCCGTCGGGGACCGCTGGGGAGCGGCCTCGGGGCGGGTAAGGGCCGGGCCGAGCCCGCGGGGGTCGGGCCGCCCGGGGGTAAGGGGCGCCCGGAGAGGGCAGCGCCCGTTGGGCCTGTGGGACCCCCCGACGGGCTGCCCGCGGTTCGTGTCTGTCCTGCCCAGGCGGCGGCCACTGGAGACGGCTCCAGCACCTTCCCCGCCACGGGAGGTAAATTCCTGCCAGCGCCGGGCAGAGTTGTCGGCTCCGCGGTGAGCCCACCTGCTGCCACCCCCGTGTTTTTAAAAGCAGATACAAAGAAGTAAAGAGATTTGCTGGATGGTCAGAGTAAAAGGAAAATAGTAACGGAGCTCACCAGTAACAACTGTTCTGAGTCTCCTTCCCCTTTGATTTATACAGGTAAAGCCTCTGGGAAAACCCTGTCACGGAGGAGCCCCAGGGGACCCCTGGCCGTCAGCCATGGCTGTACCTGTCGCGGTTCTTGACTGCGACCTCTTGCTCTATGGCCGTGGACACAGGACTTTGGATCGCTTCAAGCTGGAGGATGTCACGGACGAATATCTAGTATCCACTTATGGCTTTCCCCGACAATTCATTTACTACCTGGTGGATCTTCTGGGTGCCACTCTCTCACGCCCTACGCAGCGGTCCAGAGCCATCAGTCCGGAGACACAAATACTTGCTGCGTTGGGTTTCTATACCTCTGGCTCCTTCCAGACTCGCATGGGGGATGCCATTGGCATTAGTCAAGCCTCCATGAGCCGTTGTGTTGCCAATGTAACTGAGGCATTGGTGGAAAGAGCCTCACAGTTTATTCACTTTCCTGAGGATGAAGCTACTGTGCAGAACCTAAAGGACGACTTTTATGAGCTGGCAGGCATGCCGGGAGTGCTCGGGGTGGTTGACTGCACCCATGTGGCAATCAAAGCACCAAATGCTGAGGACCTGTCCTATGTAAACCGAAAGGGTCTCCATTCCCTGAACTGCCTGATGGTGTGTGATGCCAGAGGAGTCCTCCTCAGTGCAGAAACGCACTGGCCAGGCAGCCTGCCCGACTGCACAGTGTTAGAGCAGGCAGCCCTCACAAGCCAGTTTGAAACTGAGCTACGTAAAGATGGCTGGCTACTTGGTAAGGCAATTTTTCCTCCTTGTTTTCAGTGGAAAGTCTACTATATATTCTCCTTATTGAGTCAAGAGCCTCAATGCTTTCCTGCCAATTGCTTTGAGATTTGTGATTCAGTTTGGACAATCCTTATCTTAGAAGTTTAGAATAGTAACTTCCAATCTGTGTTTTATACAGTCTGGTTATTGTGTGTACTAGTTTACATTTATTCTGTTAAAAGCTTGTTTTCAGTATCTTACACCTTTCTAAGTGGACTTATGCAATATTTAATTCTAGGTAGGGTCCCAGTCCAGCTGTCTTTCACTGGTTTATGCAGTAAATGAATTCACTTAAAACTCTTCCATGTGTTCTACCAGGATTTTCTTGAGTAAAACTGAATGCCTTTACTTTGTCACATTTGTAAACTGGAGTTATTGTTGCCCTTTCATGCCTTCTGTTTTAGCCAGAGAAATAAGTTATTCTGTATCTGCTGTACCAGAAAATGGAGGGTAAGGAGCTGAAATCTGTGGCTGTGGGTGTGTGACCTTCTCCTTTTCACTGATAACAGGTGACAGCTCCTTCTTGCTGCGGACGTGGTTGATGACCCCTCTGCATATCCCCGAGACACCTGCGGAATACCGGTACAACATGGCCCATTCTGCCACTCACAACATCATTGAGCGGACGTTCAGAACCATTCGGTCGCGTTTCCGCTGCCTGGATGGATCCAAAGGCACCCTGCAGTATTCTCCAGAGAAATCCAGCCACATCATTCTGGCCTGCTGTGTGCTTCACAACATCTCCCTGGAACATGGGCTGGACGTGTGGTCTTCGCCAGCCACAGGACACATGGAACAGCCGGAAGAAGAGTATGAGCAAATGGAATCAGTGGACTCGGAAGCCTGTCGTATTCGTCAGGAACTTTTACTTACTCATTTTAGCTAATGTTGTGACAGAGAAAAGGCTTCTAACAGTTCATCTGGGAAGTTATCCAGAGCAGATATGCCCCTTCGTCTTCTTTAAGTCAGTAAAGACCAAGCAGATGTGAGACAAGGAGAAATTTTACACTCTTCATTTCAGGCGAATTTCTGAACTTCTCTCAGTTTCGTCAGAGATGCAATTTAATTGTTAAAGTTTTACTGTTGTGACACTTAGAGGCTCCCCTTTCACCTGACTTAGAGAACAGAGACTAACATGACATCAGTGGAGAAATTTAGGAAGTTGCCTTTGATAATGATGAAAAATATGTAAACCTTGCACTTTTTTACAAAGCAACAATTCTATGCTACTGTGTAACCCAAAACACTTATGATTGATTTTTAAACAGCATTTCACACAAATTAAAATTCCATATGAGCTCCTGTCTACCACGAATTCATGAGCAGAAAAGCAAACATTTATCTTTTTATTTGCAGGTATAAATTCTTGCTAAATACCATTTTGCTGTTTTGCAGATCTCACAAAACCCAATGATTTCTCTGAAAGCTGAACTGTGTTCTGGGAAGGGTCTGGCTTTTTGCTTGCACATATCTAGAGAGTCAAGAAGAGCTGAACGTTTCTTCTTTTCCAGATGGGCTGGAGAAGACGTTAAGCTATGGTTGACTGTCAGGTACTTAACAGACATCAGGAAATAGGCAAGTGAATGTTAAGAGTCTCGTTTTTACTAGGTATGTCTGCTGCAACAGGAGACTTGTCATCTTGTTGGCTGCTGTAAAAGAAATGTCAAGGACTGACTGGGTCACAGAAATTGAACTGATTGCAAAACGTCTTCATTTAGATCAAGCTGAGGTACAGAAAGGCTGCTCTAGCACTGCTGGCAATCTACCTCTTCAGTGGAATGAGATGACTGATGCACACAGTTGTTGCTGGCACAAGGCTGGGCAGTTTCCTGGCAACGTTCTCCTTCTAAAAGACTCAAGTGTTTCCAAGGATCTCGTGACAGCAGTCTGAGAAAATTTTGTTTCTTACATTTTTTTGTTTGTTGGGCAGTAAATGAAACAAAACAATGGGGAATGCAGAATGCTACAAAATTGTAGCTACTTAACGTAGCAGTGCAAACACCTGGCACAGCAGGTCTGTCCTTTTAGAGGAAATGAGCCTGGATCATGCCCCACATTTGAAGAGTACGAGAGTATGGCACATATTTTGAAGTGCAGAATGGAGAGGCAGGATTAGATACAGTCTGCCAAGTTTGCAATGGCAGTAAGCATTTTCCATCTTACAGAAAACCATGCTTTATGATGTGTAAGCAAGATGTTTTCAGAAGACTCGATGAGAGCTGTAAAATGTAATGTACAACAATCTGAGATGTAATTCTATTTTCTTTACACACCTTCCCATGACGTATCATATAGGAACTACTCTTGGTCACTGCGGTGAAACTCCCACTCTTTTTAGCTAGGAAGAAGCAGACAAGCATTGTTTTAAAAAAAAATAAAAAAGGCATTTTTAAGGTAAGAGTTGCTGCTATATAAGGTGCCTGATGGCTCACAATCACATCTGACGGTCTGTGCTAAAAATACTGATCACTAGACCAAAACACCGGCAGACGCTGAATGAGCTGCATGGGTGACACTGAGGTCAAGTGAGACTTGGGCATGTGTAGGTACAAACACTGTCACATAATAACAAGCTGGAGTTTCTCAATTTACGCTATGAATAGCTCTCCCCAGCATGTGCTGAGGCCAGAGAGAACTCAGAGTGGAGGCACTTCCTGGAAAACATTTGCTGCTCAGTTTTGTCTTCTTTCAGCCACTGTCATTTTTTGTTAGAGTTTAATTTCAAAATGGATTTCACTGCTTCTCAGTTTGGGCAAAAACTGCATCAGGCCACACCAGACAAAGCCAATCCACTGAACACAACTATTATTTCCTGAGTCAGATGTCAGAACACTTATGTTCACTCGGGAAATGTAGGGAGCACTTTACCCCACATCCCCCTAAGCAGCTTCCTTCAAAACAATTCACCTAACACTTTTTTCCCTGAGATTTAGGCAATATTTAAATTGACAGCTGTGATTCATGTTTCTTCCCTGTTTTCTAGCTTCTCTGTACTTTCAGCTCATCTTGCCAGCTGCATTCCAGGGTACTTACAAGATTGTGCACTGTCAGAACTTTGAGATGGAAAGTCTACCCTGACCATGTAATACCTGAAGAATCTCAGTCACCTGTTAAAGGGTGACAGTGACTGGCTGTTCACGGTATTGCAGTTTTCGCTGCTTGACTAAATTCCTTGTAAAACCCCATCATCAGCCCTTTTCCCTTTTTGGTGTTCCCTTAAGATACTCCCTCAAAGACTGGCTGGCTGTGCTGCAGGTTGCCTTCGCTTCTGCCAATCCCACATATCACATGCTGACTACGTTTTCCTGGAATCATAGAATGGTTTGAGTTGGAAGGGACCTTGAAGATCATTGAGTTCCCACCCCCCTGATGTGGGCAGGGACATCTTCCACTAGACCAGGTCACTCAGAGCCCCATCCAACCTGGCCTTGAACACCTTCAGGAATGGGGCATCCACAACTTCCCTGGACAACGTATTCCAGTGCCTCAGCAGCCTCACAGTAAAGAATTTTTTCCTAATAACTAATCCAAACTTACTCCCTTTCAGTTTGAATCCATTCCCCCCGGTCCTGTCACTACATGCTCTTGTAAATAGTCTCGCCCCATCTTTCTTGTAAGTTCCCTTCAGGTACTGGAAGGCCGCAATTAGGTCACCCCGAAACCTTCTCATTTCCAGGCTGAAAAAAAAAATTGAAAAAAATTGTTTTCTGCAAATTGCTTTGAGATTTGTGGTTCAATTTGGACAACCCTTATTCTGGAAGTTTGGCACAGAACTTCCAATCTGTTTTATACAGTCTGCTTATTGTACGTATTAGTTTACACCCATTCTGTTAAGAGCTTGTTTGGGGTATCCCACAGCTCTGTGCTGAATTGTGCAGGTTTTAATTCCCGGCGGGGTCCCAGCCCGGGTCGGCGCCGCTCCCGCGCCGCTGCCCTCGGGGCTCGACTGCTCTCGCCTGCCCTCCGTCGCCCCCGGGCGGCGGTGGAAGATTTCGTCGCTCGGCTGGCGCTGCCTGGCGGCGTTCTAGCCTCGGCTGCTCGGGCCTTGGTCCCGCGCTCGGCGCCGCCGCCGTTCGGGCCCGCTCGGCGCTCGGCTGGCCCGCCTGGCCGGA